ATGATGCAACCAACTTCTCAAGTTCATGAAAATTCTTATCGACTTAGGAAACTTCCAATATTCCAAAAACCACAAACTTTCTTTTCTAAACTTAGTTGATAACTTTCATCGTGTCGCGTCTATTTTCCATTTTCGGTTTCCAATTATTTTTATTTGTATTTAACCATTGGTTCGATTCGAAATCTTTTACTTGGACGGGACAAGGATGTCGCCTAATCGTTGTATAACGATTATCATAATACATATATCGTAATACAACGATGCAATTTGTAATTCTCTCTTAAAAGCTGCACAGTCGATAGATCGTGAACAAGTAACTATTGTTTCTCTATTGGTAACAACCGATAAAGACCTTTTTGTTTGTCAAAACGAAAAATGGTAAAAAGAATGGTAAAAAGTGTCTTTATGAATCGCGGATATTATTTCATTTTTCTAATTAATAATAAAAAATCGGAAAAATCCATCCATTTGAGATTTACGTGTGTCACAATTCAAATGATTCATTCATTGTGATTAGGGACATCAATAAGAAAGAAAAATGATAAGAATTTTCAAGTGATTTACTATAATCTGAAGTATCGTATAAAGGTATGTTTACGGAGGCACGACATATCTATGAACGTATATCTGGATCGATATCTATCCATGTTTGTCAAAGTGAAAATTTATTGCGTAGAAACGAACAAAAGATTATTAACCGGTTGTCACATATTTTGTATACATAGAAATCATCGTTTCTGGCAAGTTTATCAGCTAAAAAAATTGAGGTTAAAAGGAAACATGATAGCGCGAATTGCAACGATTAAGAGGAAACGAACCGATAGCAAGGATTATTTTTTCCGTTTTTTTCGCGTTTTTTTTTCTTTTTCTTTTTCTTTTTTCTTCTTTCTTAATCACAAGTTTTTCTTTCTTTATTCTTTAACGACAACCGAACGATTCGATAAAATATCTTAATAAAGTTATAATACTTCTAACTTCTCTTCGTGTGCCTGCAACATTAATAATCATAGAAAATGATGTGAGTAATTGGCGGCTAATTAGCGAAACATCTGCACAAATCAAATAATAGATAATTCCAAATTGGTTGAAATGATCTTTTTTATTTTGATAGAATCAAAGATGAATATAATCCAGGAAATTTTAATCTTAAAATAATCGAATCGAAATATAACGATCGCCAAAATATAACGAGATTTAATCGATTCGTTTAGAATAATCAAATCCAAAATAATTTTATTTTCCATCTATTTCTAACAAAATATCGTTTCCATTCTTTTTCTAATTACGATAATAATTAAATCTTTAAATGACGAAGCTTTTTCTTATTTTAATAGACATTTTTCTCATTCCAGGAACAGGAGAATTTAATCGACTCATCTATTCGATATTTTAAAACAAGATAATCAATTTTTCAACGAAAAAGACAGAATACCTTTACCTTTCTTCTTTTGTTCCACATTATCCTTTCATTTCCTTTTCAAACGAATCAATTGATGCAAATTATGTCTTTTCACAAAAAAATATCGCCAACTTTCAATAGAAAAAACAAATTTATCTTTTTATCATTTTAATTTTTTATTTTTATTTATCCTTGAAATTAATAACGCAAACTTTTCTGAAACTTCAAACTTCATCATTCTCTCATTATTAAAAATAATAATTAATTTTTTTTAACCATGTAGATAATATCAACGAAATATTTTTTGTGAATCAAAATCAATTTTGATCACAAATAATTCGCCGAAAAGAATCGCATCGATTTTCATTTCCCGCGTTTCAATAGTACACGCGATCGAATGATATAAGACCGATTTCGCGATGATTACGTAAAATCGTTGCGTTGCTCTCGAATGCAATGTAACGTGTCATTTGACTTTAAAATTTGATTTTAATCATACCGAATCTCTTCCTTTTTCACTCACAAGCGTGACACGAGAGTTTCATCTTCGAACAACGTCGCCTCGAAAGAATATTCGAACGAACTTGGAAAACGAAAATCTATGTTGGCTGTCGTGTTTTTCTTTAGAATACGATGACTAGCTTAATTTTCATTTCCATTCTTTAAATTCGAATATAATCTTGAATCATCCTATCGTGTAACATGGTATTTTTGATTGCAGTCTTTTTTTTTTCTTTTTTCTTTTTTGAATACAATTAAAAAACTTTGTTTAAATAAATATGAGGACGAGAAGAAATTTATAGAAGGGAATTTTACTAAACATTTTCTCTAAAACTCCAACTGCTGATAAGTTGGTCCCCTCATTTTGTAGATTAACTTATCTATGTTTATTAATAGCACAAACATAAGTTTTGCTGTTTAAATAATTAATATATGAAATATACTACTTGCTATCATATGTCTTTGTTATAAATATGAAAATCACCAATAAAAAAGACTATAGTACCACTTTCTCCAACTATTTCTCTGGTAATAAAATAAATTCTCCGATTATAAAACTAATAATAATTAAAAATTTCAACAAAACAATTATTAAATATAAAAATATATTTCCAATTATATTATATAAAGAGAAACAATAGTTAGAATAATATTATAATTTAAATCAGATAATTAATTATTAAAAAAATTTTGTTCGTATAAACGAAATTCTATTAGATAAATTCTATATCATAAAAAATCTGACGTGACGTTCTATGACGTTCTGACATTGAATACTCATTCAATTTACAATAGCGTAACTATCTCTAGACTATCTCCAATTTCAATAAGATTTTTGTTACCTTGGATATAATATTATTGCTTCGACAACAATGTTCTTTGCAACATAATCCGTTTCCATTCTTATTTAATCGCAGTAGCGAAATCATCCGATAAAGTTATTTAAAACGATTTATCACTTCTATAAATATAATTCCTGTTAAAATACGGTATAGTTAACATAATCATTTCAATTTCATCCAATTTCTTCTATTCACGAGCGCGACTATCTGTTGAATATTTCATCGAACGAATCTAGGTATGTAGATATTCTTTGGTCGGTTACACAGCCGATCTCGGTGATCTCGATAATTTCAATTTCCTCGGGAAATCGAGATACCCTCATCTCCATATCGACGGATCCACCAAGATCCTTGAACGCTTTGTCTTTGAAATTGAGAATCAAATTGCAAAACCGAGATTCACTCGTCGATGTGTCCTTGATTCTTGTTTCAGTGGAAAAGGAGGAAGAAAAACGAAACCGTCGCGTCGTCATTTGGTTGTAACAACGCTCTTTGTAATTACTCAGTATTTCGAATGAAAACTTTGGGAAAAAATTTATTTTGCTCGCGATTTTGAATAGAAATTTTTAGAAATAGGATTTACGATATGTCCAAAAAATACGTTTACAAATCCAATTACGATACAAAGATGGAAATTGAATTTTGCATTATTGCTCGTAGATTAAATTATAATGAATTATAGTTTATTATAAAATATTTTTCTAAAATAAAAAAAAAAAGGAAGTTTAACGCAATAAAATTATGATTTGTATTTCCCGTTATCGCTCGTATTTACTTTGTCTACATGGAATTCGATATTATAAATCTCAGTTAAGCAAAAAGAGAAGAAAGAAGTAAACTTGAAATTCCGATAATAGGTAAGTTCAAACATCCTAATTGCATTTGTAAACGTAATGGACACTATAGTTTAAACTGATTGTGAGCTGTACATAGTTAGGTCTACTGTTTCTTTAAACACCTTTGAACATACTTAACGTAATCAAACATTCCCGATCAATGTTATCCTCGATGATATCATCTTCACGACGAGGATAGAAAATCAGGCGTAAATTGCAGCTGTATTCGCGATTCACCTTTTCCTTATCACCTTTAATCCATCTTTAATCACTCGTTGCATAACGAGAGGGGCATTCGATTTTCGGTTCGAAAGATCGAACTTCGATCATTGCGTGTATCGAGCGTATAAGAAAAAGAAAGGAGAAAAAAATAATAAATGAAATTGAAAAAAATGTACGAAAATGTGAAGATGAATTGATAAGGAGGAGTAAAACAAGTGGATCCGAAATTAAAGTCTCGTTATCTTTTAATCTAATCCATCATAGTCCTCTTTTTCTCGCGAGGCAAGCTTGTTGTTTCCAAGCTCGTTGTCGTTAAAAATATATACATATATTTATATCTTACGCAAAAGATACGAATTCAATAATTTACGAGAAGATTATAACTCTTAAAACAAGTGAGATGAAATAAGATTCATCGAGATGAAGATTTTTGAGATATTATAACAATATTTATATCGGTATAACACTTAAATTTCACTATGAAATATTATTTTTTCGTTATAACTAGAAATAAAAAAAATAATCATATGATTAGATCAAAGAGAAAATTTGTATATTCGTATTAAATTCTGGCGTATAAAGATATTCAATAAATGATCGACAGTCACATTTGTTCGACGATTATCGGCCTATATTAATTACATAATGTATCAATGAAGAAGGCGATAAGCAATTTGAGCTCGATCGAGATGGAAAAATTCTTCGATTACGGTTTATCTGTCGCGCGAACCATTGTCCACGCATTTTTCGATCGCGTTATCATCGGCAAATTATTCCACAACCTCGACGAAAACCTCCTATAACGAAAGACTATTTTATCGATTCGAACCGGCGCGAACAAACGGAAATAGATTCTTCTGCTCTTTCTATCATCCCTCGTCTCCATCTTCCTCCTAGAAAATCTATTGAGAGCGCTGGTTGGATACCGGTTATGGATGCGAGTGACGAAGATCGGGGAAACTCGGAGGAACGTGACCAATTCGCGATCTGCTCGCGAATTCAAACTAACCGTGACTATCTCGCACGCGGAAAATTTGTACTCGAAGGGGATCGTCGTTCGTTATCGTACTCTCCTCGAGTTCTATTTTCGATTTCGAGCGTAAAACGAGGCTAATCGGGCGCCGATATCACGCTTCTAACACGTAATATCACGAAATATGGAAGGTTAATGGTATAATACATTGGTATTCGTCATTTCAGCGAACCTTTGTTGCGTGTCGGCCGGTGCTATGTTGGGATGGACCAGTTCCGTGATACCTCTTTTAAAGAACGATGAAGGTCTCGAAAGTGGGTACAATCCTCTGGGTAAGAAGATCAACAACGAGGAAGATTCATGGATTTCCTCGTTGGTTTCCGTAGGAGCGATAATAGGAAGTTTCGTGGCTGGATATTTGGCTGAAAGGTACTTCTATTTTATTCAAAATCACGTGTCTTATTTACTATCGTCTTTTCGAGTCTTTTTGATCGCAACTCTTTGAAAATTTCCAATAAAAATTCCTCTTCTTAATTCGTCTTCTAATTTATTTCAAATGGTTCGTTCAATCCGAGCTAATCACGCCAATTTTGCCAATATTTCACAGATTCGGTAGAAAGATGACACTGTTGTCAGCCGTAGTGCCCTTCCTGATCGGTTGGATCTTAATCGGAACAGCCAAATACGTGATCCAATTGTGCGTGGCCCGAGTGGTCCTCGGTTTCGCCTTAGCGTTCGCCTTCACGGTCGTTCCCATGTATTGCGGTGAAATCGCCGAGGTAAACGTCGTTTCTATTCATTCTGAATCGAAGTCCTTGGTCGTAAAACGGTTAATTAACATTCAAACTTTGTAATCGAACAGATATCCGTGAGAGGAGCTCTGGGATCTTTTCTGCAGTTATTCGTCACCATCGGTCTCTTGTATTCGTATTCTATCGGCCCGTACGTGTCTTATCTGGTATTCTGCATACTCTGCGCCATCGTACCTGTCGTGTTCGTCGGCTGTTTCATCACAATGCCCGAATCACCGTATCAATTGCTCAAGATCGGCAAAAAACAAGAGGCACTCGAGTCTTTGGCTAGATTGCGAAGCAAGACCACCGCCAGCGTGCAAAAGGAAGCAGATGAAATGCAGGTACGTATAATGATAGATTAATAGAGAAAATAATAATACGATTGAAAATATGTTCAACTTTGTTCAATTGTTCTATTTCCGCACGGTCCCCGTTTTTATTTCCGTACATTTTCGAGGTCAGAATAATTTCCGTTCAAACGTGTTAGTGAAGAGAAGAGGGAGGGGAGCTAGAATAGACGTAGATCAAGAGGGAAGTTCATCCGTCAGAAGCACGTGTTTCGACCTTATTAACGTGGAACGGATCAGACGTGGAAGAGCATCGTCACGCTGTCGAGACAAGATTGAATCAGGTCACGATATCGAACGGGAAAACGATTTAACTTTAAGAATGTTCATTCAAACGGTCGAATTAAGAAATCAATGACGAGATCAATGCCGAGTATTAATATAACTGTATCTAGCAGGGAAAGTATGTGATATAAGAAATAGATGAGAAATAATAATTATGGAAAGGAGAATTTTAAGAAAAATTAGGGAGAAAAGTGAGGAGTGTGGCGGGATAAGAGCGATCGGTTTGCAAAGTGTCGGCGAGAGGCGCAATATCGTATCGGCGTTCGGGTCACGTTCGCTGAACGAGGCCGGGGGTAAGGTCGTTCCTTGATCCGCCAATGGTAACGGCGTTCCTCCAACGTGCCTCTACACGCTATTGAATCGCGTAGTCGGGTGACTAACTCGTCACGTGTTCTCGCGTCTCGAGTATCACGCGTAAATACACACGCGATCTTCCGCTTTTCGTGGCCAATCGTTCAAAATTCGACGGATCGCTCGTTATTTTTTCAATTTTCTTTTCGTCTTAATTTTCATTTCCCGTCTAACATAACATCCATTTCTTTATTAATCGTTTTGAATATGCATCGAACGCTATGAGTCAAGACGTACGATCGATGGTCATCGGTGTTATCGAAACAGTTTTATCGTATTTTTTATATCGATTAAAATTCTATTTTCATGAATTATTAGTAATAGAATTATATTTTCCTCCGATGTTCTTTCTTAAACTACGCTTTGATCCAATTATTATATAACGATAATAATATATTTATTTGTTACAGGCTTCCATCGATGAAGCGTTCAAAAACGAGGCGAAATTGTCGGACTTGTGGAAAGTGAAGGCAAACTTGAAAGCTTTGATGTTTACGTGTCTTCTCGTCGCCTTCCAACAAGCCAGTGGTATCAACGTGGTCCTTTTTAATATGGGAGCTATCTTCGACGCTGCAAAATCATCGTTACCTAGCTCGTTGGCAACCATAATCGTCGGTACGGTTCAAGTAATCACTTCCGGAATCACGCCATTGGTCGTCGACAGACTTGGTAGAAAAATACTGCTTATTTTCTCCGGCGTTGGCGAGGTCGTCTCCCTGGTAAGCGAGGCTTTCAATTTCCTTTTCATTTATCTAATTAATTAGTTTTACATCTTGACGCAATGATATCGTAGGATATCGCCTATTATTACGATTATATAATCTTCTTTCGTTACGAGAAAGCGCATATTTGTCTAAAAAACACGATGATGAAGATATTTTTTTTCTCTCTAGCGTGGAAACATAACTTGTTACGCTTTTTTAAATTACTCTATCGAGATTTATTCGATGAACTGGAAAGTGAGACACGTGGACTCGATTTCTTGCTGTATCGATAATTTAAACACACGTTAAAATAAAATCAAATTAACGAAATCTTGTCTTTTCTTCGATGTCGAAACGATATTTTGCAAATTCGCTTTTTACGCTTGGAAACATCGAATAATGACGGTAAATTATTCAGCGATTCGTTTCAAGTATAAGAAACGTAGTCGATTTCTGATAACTGTAAACTGTAACAAATATGCTAATACTTGGTTACAATTTTGTTTCTTGTCCTATTTCCATTGCACAGTTTCATCATCGTGAAAATATATTTCGCCAATTGTAAAATTTTTCGAACAGAGTTACGTGATCGAGTTACGTGACTCATATTATTCTAGGTATTTCACAAATACCTGTGGCGAGTCAAATTATTCGATCTGCACACTACTGCATACCACTGCATAATACCGCATGCGTGGGTGATGCAAAGTTTAAGGCCATCTTTCGAAGCGTTGAGAATTTAACCGATGCTTAATCGATTTCTTGAATAAAAGTTGGGACTGAAAGTCGGGCTCGTGTACGTAACTTTCAATAAAGATAGATTTATTTTTTTTTTTATTTTCGAAATAAGCAAATATTTTTTCTTGAAAGAGATCATAAAAAAAGAGATTGCATTTCTTCAAGATACGCAAAAAATTATCAAGTGTCAAACTGGTATCCTTCTATGATCTCTCATCACAGATGCTACGTACAATATTTATCTTCGATCTCGATGAGAAGTTCGATTTGTTTCCACGCTGGATTGACAGTTCTGTTGAAATTCCATTATCGTCTCATTTATTATCGTCGATACGAACAGCTAGATCGTATCTATGCAATGTATACATAATCACGATTGCAATTTCACGTTCGATTTGCCATCGAGAAACGCGAATAAACCGATAGATCTCGCAACGATTTCTCGTCGCATAACGGACCGAACGCGCTTCTTCGCGGCCTTGATCCACTGTCCATCGCGTACGTTTCGCAGGTATTGCAAAATAGTGGCAACAAATCGATCGCGGCCTTGTACCGCCTATTCAAATCGATTTATGTAACCTCGCGATCGTGTACTCCTGATGCACGCCGCATTCCACCGGTGCAACACGAACACGCGTCGGAATCGCGTCGAGGTCGTTTGCTCCCGACCTTCGTCTTTCTTTTCCTCACCGATTGTTCCAATGAACCAACTTTCTGTCCATCGATCTTCATCAATTTTTTAAATTTAAATTTTGTTGTAAAAAGTTTCTCAAATTTTCTTCTTTAAGTTTTTACAAAAACTTGAACGTTTTTTTCCCAGAAGAATTATTTAAAAATGCAAATTCTTGTTCGTATTCTCTTATGAATTATCCATGATTCTTAATTTTTTGAAATCTCGAGTAAATTATTTACGAGACAGGATTTCTATTACTTTTCTATTACTGTAGGCAGAGCTCGATTAACTATTTAATTATTGCCGCCTATTTCAACGAAATAAAACTGTCAACTAAATTATTCTTCCCAAGTCCGATTCTTCGTTCTTCGCTTAAAGTAATCTCCGCGAACCGTGTCTATAAGAAAATTTCAGTAAACAGGAAAAGACACATCGACGTGGAAATCGTCGGATGACTTCACGAGTCTGGAATTATGAGGCCGATTAATTATCCATAGCCATAGATTGTTGCACCGATCATGCGGTCGCAGTCAATGTCAATGTCTCATCGCACGTACGAAGGATCGATCGTTGATTCGCGAGTTGTGACGCTGTTATCTAAATTTCATAACGACGAGGCGATGCGGCGAGGAGGCAACGAAGGCGGAAAAAACAATAAGGAAAAGAAGTGGATCGAGAGCGACGATGACGAGTCGTGTCCAAGAATGCTTGGAATGCGGTTAATTACCGATAGCGTTAATTTTGTAATTCATCGATCGATCGATAGCGTCGTTCAATCGCGATTATATTTTTCCTTTCGCTCCTCGCAGACGCGTGTCTCGTTAATTGCCGTATAACGATATAAACTTGCAGAAACTCGTGGCAAGTTATTAATCATATGGATAAAACCAACGCAATTATCAAGCGTTATTTTTAACGAATAATTCCACTTCTATCTATTTATTTAATAAATTAGAAACTACGATTCTAATTTCTACGATTCTTTCTCTTTTATTTTTAGGCCGCATTGGGTATCTACCTTTACCTGGATTCCAATGGAGCAAACGTGGACAGTATAAGGTTTTTGCCTATCGTGTCGTTGGTCATTTTTATCGCGACATATTGTGTAGGCTGGGGTCCTCTTCCATGGACCGTGATGGGCGAGATGTTCGCATCGAACGTGAAATCCAAGGCCTCCGGGATCACGGTGTCCATATGCTGGTTGGTCTCCTTCTTCATCACCAAATTCGCCAATGACTTGCAAGATACGTTTGGCAATTACGTGCTCTTCTGGTTGTTCGCCGTGTTTTGTGTGGTTAGCGTAATATTCACGATACTGGTATTACCCGAGACGAAGGGAAAGAGCTTGCAACAGATCCAGAACGAGTTGAATGGAGTCCATCATTCCGAGATATCCGAGTTTGGCGACATAAGCAAACATTGAAAACAGTATTACGATTTCAGATTTTGCGAGGACGATTTTATTCTTGGTCGCGTAATCGTTTTTCCTCTTCCTATTTCTATTTCTACATATACATAAACGCGTCTTTATTACTGCCAAAGACCATGGATCGTGATTCCAGATGGATCCTCTTCGCCTTGTGCGGTTATGCGACGAGTTAGACACTCCGCATATTTCTTTTTTATCGTTAGAGACGAGTTGAATCGACATCGTTCGCGAATTTTTACGTATACGAGTATATGTACGTGATAAGACGTAAGAGATGCGTTCGATGTAACACGATTGTTATCGTTTGTTTTAAAAGCAAACGAGAGGAACGCGACAGAATTGGGCGAGTATCTAGTTTGAGTCTATTATACAGTCTGGTCTCAAGCAATAAGTATAAATCGGACACGAGGGATGTCGTTGAGGGATCGAGTTAAATTTCAAACACCGTTCTCTTTGTCAAATAAGATGTAACAACTATCGAACGATACTCGATGATTTTATCGTCTGTCCCGTTTCTCACCCACGTACGCCCAACAAAACTTGCTTAACGTATTTATTTCCTGACAAACTTTAGCCGTTCAACGTACGTACGTATCGTTTCCTTTTTACGTAAGATTACAAGCGATCCTCCGCATCCCAAGTATGATAATATTTAATAATTTAAAAGAACGCCGTATTAGATATGTGTATAGTATATGTATATTTGAGTTCCATTGCATCGATCATGAAACAATCGCACCATGTATATTCAGTTTCCGATCGATTGTCTCTCGCGGTGAATCCCGTCTATTTGCGAAAAAGTCGTGAGAAAAATTGCGAAAAAAAAAAAGGTTTTAAATCATTGTTCTTCAATCTTGATAGAAAATCATACGATTCTAGAAAGAGAGACGAATGCAATTTGCACGCGGAAATTCCACGAACATGATTTTTATCCGAGGTGAGCGGTGCGCACGCTAGACATTTTCTTAGACACACAGTCTAAGGAAAAAAAAAAAAAAAAAAAAAAAAAAAAAAAAAAAAAAAGAAAGAAAGAAAGAAAAAAAAATCGTAATTGGAATTTTTCAAATCAAAATATCAAATTGTTGATGCGAACTGTGAAGATCTTTCTGTGATCGAGATGCGTTAATCGCGTTTAGGGAGATTAATTAGAGACTAGTTAGAGTTAATTTGATCGAAAGAATACATTTTCAATTTTGCTTGCGATTGTTTCAAGATTCGCAAAGATTCGCGTCCCATTTTGTTTCTTGTCGTTTTTTATCTTCGTTTTATAACGATCACAAGTAGATAGATATATAATTACAACGATGTTATGGAAAATATGCGGAAGTTTTTTGGAATTATTACTTCGTATCTTTCTTATCTTTTTCTTTTAAAAAAAAAATGCATAATTCTCGTGGCCAAGAAACAAGAAGACGCGAGTCTCCGTAACGCTGTAATTTCTTGAAATTATAGTATTCCGCGATTCGCTCGAATCATGACATAATTTTGACATCCGTCAAAAATCGGGGATCGAGCGAAATCGATGGCGCGTTTTAATTATTGATATACACACTTTTTTTATTTCCTTCTTTCTTTTCTCTAATATCGTAGAGATTATTCTTTCTAAGTATTTCACTTCTTTCTTCAACGAGGTTTCCTTTCGAGCTATTTCGCGAGGATTCGTCATGTTAGGTTTAAACGTCACTTTCTTAAGCATAATGTTCATTAATGTTAACCGTAAACGCGAATTTCATCGATAGAGAGAACAAATCGATTCTACTTTAATCACGCGTGTCCGTTTCATTTGTTATTTAAACGAACTGTTATTTAAACCAACGATTGTACTTATTTCCATCCCAATTTATCATAGATCGTATCGGATTATTTTTTACGACTAGAAAACGATGAAGAATATAAATTTTCTTTGAAGTAATATTTTTTCGCGCGACACGCGTGTGTGTGCAACATTTTTTTTTTTTTTTTCTCCTCTTAATTATTACTAACGACAATTGTATTTCGTTTGCATTTACGCGATAGCCTTAGAGAGAATGTGCCAAATGTACTGTAGTAACACGATCGCCGTATTTAACACGTTGATTACCGATTACGAGTATACTCATAGTAAAATATATTTAATTGGCATGATAATTACGATGATATAGGTAATCAACGTGTTAACATATCCTAGAAGATAGACAAAACACGAACATCGATGAATTTGAATCGAGTTGAATTCTCACAGATGTGAAGAAAATTGATTACGGCTAACACGATACGTGTATAGAAAATGAAAAGGAAGAAATATTAATAGCTATTAATGTGATCTCTTGTATGGACAAGGTATCCGCGCGAACGAAACGTAGTTATTTATTGAAATATGCGAGAAGACGACGCAGAAATAAGAAAAGGAATATGCTGATCGTGTATAATAATAAACGATAATCGGTCGTCGTTTGCATATTCATCGTGATAAAAACTCGAGTGCCTCAATCAAATTTTAAATTATCAAAAAATTATTAAAATTGAACGAAACATATCGTCTACGATAAATTTGTTGATAAATACTAAATCGTAGATACCGGATAGAAATGAATTCTTCTTCGCGCAAATCTGTACGCAACGCCTATTATATTTTTCGTTCGTGAAAACGGAGCTATTTAGATATCGTAGAATCATTCCTAATATGTTCCTCTATTTCTAAGAGCAATAAGACTTTCCCCTAAGATATGCTTAAGACAAAACGATTGTACGCGCGTAAAAAAAAAAAAAAAAATGATAAATTAAAAAAAAATATATGCAGATACATATAAAGGAAAAAAAAAAAAAAGAAAAATTAAAAAAAAAAAAAAGGAAAAATTAAAAAAAAATATATGCAGATACATATAAAGGAAAAAAAAAAAAAAGAAAAATTAAAAAAAAAAAAAAGGAAAAATTAAAAAAAAATATATGCAGATACATATAAAGGAAAAAAAAAAAAAAGAAAAAAAAAAAAAAAAAATGATAAATTAAAAAAAAATATATGCATATACATATAAAGGAAAAAAAAAAAAAAGAATTATGGTCAAATTGCGTTCGAATTACCCGGTGTATGAAATTTCCACTTCCGACTGACAAGATCGGCAAGAGAAGTGCTCACAGAACGTATTATTATCTTCTTCTTTTTTTTTCTTTTCTCGAAGGAAATTGTACCGTTGTTTTCAGAGGATAAAATAAGTTAAATATTATCGCGCATTGTTCGAGAGGCCTTTGACGTAATGCACAATTAGATAGACGAAACGATCACGATTTTCCACGCGATTGTCAGCGAGGTAGATTTTTAAAATAATGTATGATGACCACGAGAAGAATGTTGTATACAAAGCAATGAGAGAATGTGATAACATTTAAATTTAAGCAGGGTACAAAGGAAATCAAGTTTGGAAATTTTTAATTGACGATATTTTAAATATATAAATATGATAATATATATACACGTTATACATATATATATTTTTTTTTCATCTTGATCATCATTCGATGCAATTGTATATATATATAAAACTCTATATGTATATGTATTAAAACGCATTACATGTATAGTGTAATTACGATAAATACTTTTGTTACGGCTAAATAAATTATAATTTTAAAGTATTACGCACGAATTAATCGGCAAAACCTTTATCCTGTTCCATCTGTATAGTGTTTTTAATAGTAACATTAAACTTTTGTCAAACATGACGATTGAAATTCGTGATTTATCTATATGTATATATATATATTTGACAAGCGAAAAAAAAGAGAATCGAATACATACGTTGAATCGAAAACGTGTTATCAACTATTTTCACGAATTTCGTAAATAAATAATCTAATTCTACGTTAAAAATAATTGTTAAAAATTTAAAATTCTGCAAAGAACGTTAAAAAAAGATGGCTAAAATCGGTCAACAAAAAGAATCTGAAATGGTAATCATATAAAAAAAATACGTAATTTTGAATTCATTTTATTTTTTAAATCGATGAAATATTTATCAGGACGAAGAAGACACGCGGTTGCAGGAAGAACTATTTCAACTGGCCGATGTATTACTAGTAAATAAGAATTAATCTCCATATACGATTTATTTTTTTTAACTTAATAATTATTATGGATCACAACCTAACCCAAGCATTCAATGACGTGTCAATTATAATTTGAGGGAAAGGACGAAGATGCAATGTTGATAGCTCTAAGTCAACTTCGATTACTAATGCAAACCTCGACTACCTCGATGACTTCTGTACCAAAACCACTCAAATATTTAAAGAAGACGTATAATGATATGAAAAATGCTTATGAAAATATTCAAAACGATAAAGTGAGACATCAATTCGCGGAAGTGTTGAGCGTATTATCGATGGCAGGGGCATTGCCAGGATCCAAAGAGTGCCTTCGATATTGCATCCAAGGTGAGGTAACGAAACCTGGCGAATGGGGTCATGAGTACATAAGACAACTCGAAGGTGAAATCGTAGATGAATGGACAAATTCTCCTGTAAAAGAAGAGAATCGTATAAGGTATTTTAGATCTTAAGAAAAAATGTTTCTCTCACCGACAAATTTCTTATGTATTTTTTATTATTTTCTTTTTATTTATTTATTGACAGAACAGAGCTTACTCCTCTAGTGAAAGGTATCATAAAATTCGACATGAAGCATAACGCAGAGATACCTGGTTGCGATCTATGTTTGGAGATCGATCAATTGAATTTTTTAAACGAGTCTTTGGATATCACGAATTTTGAACGAGTCTGTCGATACTTAGAGAGTTGTGCAGCCTACAGGTCAATTTTCTCATATAATGCAATTATTAAAATTTATGAAATTTTATCTCATTTATTTTTATATTACTTAATTATCAGCGAGGATACCGAAAGAAGACAAATATTGCAAGTCGTAGTTGATCATTACTTACGATTCAAAGAATATTGCAAAGCAATGTTAGTAGCCCTTCAACTGGGAGATTCGGATCTTGTACACAAATGTCTCGTCACTTGCCCTGATACTTTAATGCGAAAACAATTGGCATTCATACTCGTTAGACAAAGGGTAATTTATCACATCTCGTATGAATTATTCCAAATCCAATATTTCATTCGTATAATTTATTGATCATTAGGAGACCCCGTTGAAAAAGGATTATCAAGGAGAGGATGCAAAGGATATCGAAGCCATTTTGAGCAACAGCCACGTAAACAATCATTTCCATTTACTCGCAAGGGAACTCGACATTTTAGAACCCAAACATCCAGACGACATTTACAAAACCTGGTTGGAAACCAATACCCTGAGACGCGCGGAACACGATTCAGCCAGAGCCAATCTAGCAGCCACGTTCGTTTCCGGTTTCGTTCATGCTGGTTTCGGTCAAGATAAACTGATGGACAACACTACAGAGTGTTGGGTTTATAAAAATAAGGTTTTTATAACGTATTTATAACGAGATTTTTCCAAAAGAAGAAATTTAAACGATTCAAAGCTCAAGTAAATTGTTTGATAGGAACACGGAATGCTTTCTGCAACCGCTTCCTTAGGACTGATACACATGTGGGACGTAGATGGTGGACTGGTACCTATCGACAAGTGAATCGCGTCTTTTATCGTAATGAAATTATAATTTACGAACAAATGTCCAAGAGTTGAGATATGTTTTTCCTCGCAGATATCTTTATACGAACGATTACAACATCAAAGCAGGTGCTTTACTTGCTATAGGATTGGTTAATTGCGGCATTCGCAATGAATGCGATCCAGCACTGGCACTTCTCAGCGATTATGTGTCCTCTGAAAACGCCACGTTGAGAATCGGGGCCATTTTGGGTCTAGGTTTGGCTTATGCTGGCTCACAAAGATCTGATGTCACGGAGCTTCTAACGGGAGTTCTGGTGGACAATGGAAGTACGTTTGTGGATACCTCAAAAAAAGAATCTTTCGTGTGACGAGCAATTTTTAGGTAGCATGGAGGTTATGTCTTTGGGAGCAATTGCGATAGGGTTGATAAACGTTGGTTCTGCCGATGCTGAAGCTTCTTCGACCCTTCTACAGAAACTACTAGAATTTACTCCTCAAAAGTTATCTAGTACCCATTCTAGGTTAACAAGAAATACATTTATCGAGTTTAAAATGATGGCGAAGAAGAATTGTTTCGAATTCATTTTTGTACAGATTTCTGTCACTGGCATTGGGAATGGTCTACATGGGTTGTCGCGATGTCATAGAGGCTTCTTCGGCCGCACTTGAAGTCTTACCAGATCCTTACAAACTTGCTGCGCAGACTATGTTACAAGTAATACTATCAACTTTATTAAGATATTATATTCTGAAATATAAATTAAATATAAATATAAAAATGAAAAATCATCAAGATTAAAAGATATTGATTGACCTCAGGTGTGTGCATACGCTGGGACAGGGGATGTATTGATTGTTCAGGAATTGTTACGAATATGTTCGGAACCGGTGGATGGTGAAAGTATTCCTGCTACGCCGGCTAGCAGTCCTGTCAGCAGTTGTTGCGATCAACGCCATCGAATTATCGAATTTTCTGAGAAAAAAACCAAAGAGAAGTTAGAAGAGAAACAACACGGGGGATCAAAGTACTCTTTTAATCGCATTTTTATTTATATTTTTATTATATTCATGACCTTTTCATAATTCTTCATGTATCCTTCAGAGAAATCGGCTCGTCGCAGGCCATAGCTACTTTGGGTGTCGCTGCTGTTGGACTGGGAGAGGGAAAAGAGAATTCGAGGATATTCGGCCAGGTGATGAGAAAAATCCCTTGATTCAAAAGTGTCAATATATGATCAATCTGTTTTTATAAGGGATTATTTCTCAGATTGGAAGATACGGATCTATTTACGCAAGACGAGCAATGCCACTGGCCCTAGGCCTATCCTCTTTGTCAAATCCAGACTTGGCAGTTCTCGACGTCCTAAATAAATACAGCCACGACAATGACTCCGAGGTAGCCAACAGTGCAATCTTTGCTCTCGGTCTCGTCGGTGCAGGAACAAATAATGCCCGACTTGCCACCATGTTGAGACAATTGGCCTGCTACCATGCAAAAAATCCTTTACATCTATTCCTCGTTCGAATTTCCCAAGGCTTGGTTCATCTTGGCAAAGTAAAGCACAAAAAAAAAAATATACATATATAAATATAGATATATATATGAAAAATTTGATCCATCCTAAATGCTTGGTCATTCGTTTCATTTTATTGAAATTCTTTAGGGTACTTTATCCATATCTCCGTTACGGTATGGCTCCAAAATATTGGATAGAGCAGCCTTAGCTGGATTGCTGGTAGTTTTGGTGGCTTTTCTCGATTGTCAGAATCTGATCCTGGCGAAATCTCATTACTTGATGTACTGTTTGGCGCTTGCAATGGAACCCAGATGGTTGGTCACTTTGGATGAAAATTTGCAAGTATGTATTTGCAGGAATTTTTCTTACAGGAATCAGAAAACAATGTGAATATAATTAATGAATACTGAATATTTAAAATGAATAAAAATAATATTTTGATCAGACTCTACCAGTGTCCGTAAGAGTTGGACAAGCTGTAGACATCGTGGGCAAAGCTGGCAATCCTAAATCCATCTCTGCTGGATACGTGCACACAACGCCAACCTTGCTTTCTTCTGGAGAACGGGCAGAACTCGCTTTAGACGAGTATGAGCCGTTATCTTGTATTCTAGAAGGTTTCGTTATTCTTCGGGAGAAGTTGAACAGCTCCTAGATTTATTTCTGAAATAATAACACAAGACGATGGGTAATAAAATAAAGCCAGATTGCGAAAGGCAACGCTGGGACAAATGGTTTATTTATTTCACGAGATAGTAATAAGAAACATGATCGATAGAAATGTATTATGCAAGGCGAAGAATTTACTAGGAACCAAAGTGCGAACGATGTTTATATACGATACATTATAATTTTCCATTCTGTTTTTAATAAAAAGTAAAAATAATATTTTCGAGAAAAACGGTGTAAAAGAAAATCTTGTACAATGACCGATCGATAACTACATATGTTCGCAATGCATCACTTTGACAACGATGAGAACGTGAAAAGAACGCAACTGATCCGAGCAAAGATTCAATCGCGTCTATAAATCGCTTCGATTCGATAAGAATGTGAAGAGACGCGTGATTCAGCTTCTTTCTTTGTATGTTGCGTTTATTTAACTTCAGGGACTAGCGGAAGCAATGTGCTCTATACAACAGAAACGTACATTGGTTCGCATTGCACGGTGTAAACGACAATAATGCACCATGATCTGACAGCGGTCACGGTAAGAATCACTTTATCATTCATTGTCGTAAATTAAAACTTATAAACGTATGACTCTCTTCATTCGAGTAAAAATGAAAAAAAAAAAAAAAAAAGAAAAGAAAAAGAAAACACAATACAGAAAACAGACAAAAAAACAGAAAAGAAAAAGAAAGAAATCAAGAGATGGAAATACAACATAGAAAATATTAAATATTAAAACGCAATGAAAAAAAAAGAACATAAGACGAGAACGACTTAAAAAGTAACCCAAAGACCAAGTAATTCGTAAAATTTTCAAAAAATGATCTTCGAACGATTCAACATCTATTGGTAAAATACTGCAAATGAAAGATAAATGTTGCAGTTTATTGGTTCTGATGATGTGTACAAAAGCGGACCACGAGGAAACAAGAAACGATATCGCGCGAATGAAAGAAGAAAGATCTGTTCCCTTCTCGTTTCCTCGGCACAAATAATAATTCTTTCACGTGGTGTGCATGGTTACTTTTCTCTCTCTTAATTTTTTTTTCTTTCTCTTCGTCTCGCGAGCTCGCATTAATATATTGCACAAGATCATGAAGTACGTTTCCCACTTCTTCGTAACGAAGCCACGAGAAACACTCCAGGAAATTGCACGAACGTAACTGCAATATGTACTTTGTCAAAGAAGCTCTCTCATGTCAGAGAAAGCGTTTAACTGCTTCTCGTGTCTAGAAATATCTGCCGACATTTACATATAGACACGTATAACTTAGAATAGAAGGCGAGATATAGAATAAAACGCGATTTTAAAATATGCACACTCCCGCGTGGATCTTTTTTTAGCATTGGAAACATATCGCATCTTTTCTTTTCTTTTACGTTGCAAATTATTTTTATATAAGTTATGCTTCACAAAACCATACAAATAATTGCATCCTGTTGGAAATTTAATAATTCTATTGTAACATATTCCTCCTTTTGTGTTTTCAGCTTGTCGCTTGACGTATTCGCTCGCAGAAGAATAATTGGCTCGGTAACTGTTGTTTTTTCTCTTTTTTTTCGATAATTTTTCTTTATTCAAATAAATATTGAACTTAATTCTTCGAGTTTGATCCATACATATATATAAAAGAAATCGAGTTGAGGAAAATTTGTGTAATATTGTTTGTCAATAAATATATCTCTCGTATATCCAATTAAAATAGAAAGAGCAAACTCGATGATGATATTTAAATATATTGATAATTACACGTCATTCGACAAGCTGGATTTCCTATCTAGTTATACTTTAAATTTCATGTTGCTTATAGTAAAATATAATAATAATGATGATAATAATAATAATAATTAAAAATTAATAATAATAATTAAAAATTAATAATAATAATAATATAATGATAATGATAACTTCTATAATAGTAGCGCGTTTATGTTATAGCTTTTTGCAATTAATGTGTTCCGTGATTCAAGCGAATTTTCAAAATGGTATTATACGTTTGTGTACATATATGCATATATGTATATACTTCCTCGTACTTCCGTTGCTTCTTTCTTTTTTTCTAAGATTTCTCTTACATCGTTCGTTTATTTACATCAACGTTTGCGTATCGACGAGTATTACCATTTTTTTCGTTTTTTATTCGCTTTGAATCTTGCACATCTTCCCATCGCGCTATTTTATATGTACGTCGACGTTCACGGGTAAACTCTAAGTCACAAGATGATGTTCCAGTTAAATGATAAAATTTTAGACGATCCTGACCACCTTTACTTTCAGCTATTTCTCTAAAATTATTATTATCCATCTACTATTTCCACTTTTCGTGAAAATTCTAGTCATAGAAAGTGTACATGTTAAATACAGGATAACAATTTTCTGTTTGAAATATTCCCAATGAAACCATCACTGTTAATAGTTGATATACATACAATACATATTTCTTTTCGTTAACAACGTCGGATCATAAACGTTTCAACCTTTTTTCTTCAATTCTCAAATTAGCAGGTCTTTTCTGTCAATCACAGAAACGGTTGAACATATCGCTTCTTTCGTTTTCCTTATGAACAACATACAGATTCTCCCGAAAGAAGCACCGAAATCACAGGATACGATGAAATAGTTTGTGAACGATCAAAAATCAAGCTGCCTGTGGATTCGTTGCTGAGAGAATAAAATTGACGTCAAATGGTAGTGCTCCTTTATGTATATGTATTATAATATTTGCGTCATCGTGCGAACATTGTGTTTATACGTGTTTAAACATGTGTGTATGCATTTATACGTGTCCCTGTGAACGTGTACGAAATGGCGAGAGGTCGAGATTGCCCCGATTTTTATTTTGCATTATTTTGCATTATTCGCAACGATGACAACGCTTTGATATCGTCGATGTTCGCGATCGAAAACCGGAATCGAATCGTTGGTTCCCCGAACACGTGTTCTCCTTTTCTCTCATGATACAACACCTACCACGCGGAAGGAATGTACACTCTATAGCACGGTAACACAGTCGTGACACGATGAAGGTAATAAGTAGAACACGTAGCGTGATAGCTGCCAGTTAAAACAGCCGGGCACGTCTTTTGATTTCGTTACGACGCCATTGCGGCAATCTGTAGAACTCGGCACGAGTACACTGAAGTACTGCCTCAAACTCCGCGTCGGAAAGATGTCTCTGAAAAAAAAAAAAATAATAACAATGAATTAACATTCGTCAAAGGAAAAACAATCCGTTCGATGATAGAAACATGATCGGCTAATTAAATTATGTAAACGATTTCTCGATCGACTCACTTCGAGGTTGCAACGATCCACGTCAGCGGGCAGCCTATAGTTTGTGATGACAAGTAAATGATAAGGATAGAGTTTCGGCGGTTCGGACGGTGCTGTCCCCATGTCTGGCAGTGATCTCCTCACGTGATGGCCCCCGTGACTTCCAACTACCGAACCTAGGCCACCTGTATACGTGGTAGATGATGGCAGCATTCCACCATCATTCTGAACAATCATTCAATCGTTAATTATTCCATTGTAAAGCGATCCATTCTTAACGTGTGATGAGCGTTAATAGCGGTGCAGCCGTTCGAAAGTTTCTCGCACGATTTTTTATGCATTAATTTTCATATTCGTTATAATGGAAAAGAAATGATCGATGCGAGAATCTTTCATCTTGCAACGGATCGATTGTTGTCCGTAACAAGAGCCAATACACATATATGTATATATTGTAGCAACAAAAAGAATCGGCATAACACCGCATTTGTTAATAAATGATTCGACAGAGCTTAACACGAGACAGAACCATAAAGCTAGACTGAAACGAGTGATAGGAACTGGCATTTTTTCACGGATTAATTTTCCGACTCGTTGCTCCTCGATTGGGAATTGTTCGTGCACTTTAATTAATGAATTATACGATTCGATGCAACAGTTACATTCTTCTTCAAATTTTTCTTAACCGATAGAAAAAAGAACAAAGCAATCGAAACACGTATCGCACACGGTACAATCTCATGCACGTTAATTTCAGTTTAGGCATATAGTTCCGTTTCCCGTCTCGTATGCACTGATTATGCCACGGATGCAGAATATGCAGTCAAGTTATGAGAACACCGCAAGTACACGTCAATCTCGTTAGCGTTATTCGAGATTTTTAATTATTTTCGACGTTCTAACATTTCGTACGCGAAACTCACATCGTGTTATCGTACAACGAACAAATAAAAATAATAACAAGCATATAATCAATCTAAAATAAAAGGAGAAAGCCGATTAATCTTTCGGTGTACATATATTCAAGACATAGCAAACGATCAATCGAATTCTCGCGATCGTGTTCAATTTTTCTCGCAAAATCAAAATCAAATATGCAATCTTCAAATATGCCAAGGTAAGAAAAAAAAAAATTGTACAAAAAGATGCAAAAAAGAAAAAAAAGAATTCATTAAAAAAAAATATATATATATATGTATATATCGTAGCAAATATACAGCACGTGCATGCGTAAATCAATATACAATTTTGTACATGTAAAAACGTTATATATTATACAAATATAAACAAACCGGCAAAATCTCGTTATATACAAATACGTCTAAATCCGATCTACTACGTTGAACGATTTTGGCCGGCACTCGTTCTCTCGCTTCTACGAAAATTCTCCGTATCTCAAGAAATCACGCAAATGTCTAATTTTATGACGCGCGCCAATGATAATATGCTGTTAAATAATTCATATGCAAAACAAGCTACAAACCATGCTAATTCGCCGGGAGTAGTATGGGGCTGTGGTACATACCAATGCCCGTCGATCCACATCCGTGATGCTTCCTGTCGATACTAAAATTGGGGGAAAAAAATGGGAAAGAAAACCATGTCAAACCATATTGCACAAACCATTTCGATAAATGTTAAATTACAATCTTTCCATCGATCGATTCGATCGTATTCCGTGTCGATGGAGAAAAACAAACGATCGGATTAAATATAAAATCTATCGTTGAGTGAACGGATCAACGAAGTTGGCACTTGCACTTCCAACGATCGGGAATACGATTGATCCGATCAAATTACTGTATAAGCAAATGATTATATCGATGATTATATTACACATATGACCTGAATTTCATTTTCTAAGCTACACGATATGTACCAGCTGTGAATGATCAAAGAATTATCGTGTCATAAAGTCACGTTACTGGCGAATAGGTACTGTCACTTGGGCACACTATAAACTCATTTGGTTAATAGATTCAAACAAGTTTTATTATGCAATTTTAAATCTAATATATGGAATAGTACGTGGCTAGAATCGTATGATACTTAGGCGTCGTAATTAAACCAAGATACAAAAAAAAAAAAGAGAGAAAGAGAAAAGAAGTGACAGTAAATGATAGAGCAAAGATGCATTAGTAAAGCATGCTCAGATATTAGATTGGAATATAATCGAGAACGAAATATATATATTTTCACGAGTGTTTCCTACTCGTGGGTTCAAAAATAAAAATAAAAAGTAGAAATTGAAAATGAAAAAAAAATAAAAAAATAAAAAAGAAAAAAGAAAAAAAGAAGCATATACAAAAAAATTCGATATACTGCACGAATAAAATGTAATTGCAAGGTAACCATATGTGTGTATGTTATGTGTGATCAGTTTCCTTTCTGGGTTACTCACTATCTGATTTGCCAGATGAGAAATCAGTGCTGTGCGTCTTGTCTCCCATCCCACTGAACGAATAATCACCCTAGACGACAAAAAAGCGTAAATCTTAGAAACAACCGAAACATGGACATTCGTGATTAATCAACGGATAAAAGAACGATAATTAAAACGTGTATCATTATCTCTACAACATATATATTTTTTTCATTCATTCTCTTTTTTTTTCTTTTTACTTTATATTTGTAAAAATCAGCAACAACGGTGCAAAAAAGAATTTTTTTTTTTTTTTTTTTG